TACTTCATGGCAAATAGATGGGGAAACAATGAAAACAGTGACAGACTGCACTTTTGGGGGCTTCAAAATCACTACAGATGGTGACTGCAGCCGTGAAATTAAAAGACACTTGCTCCTTGAAAGAAAAGCTATAACCAACCTAGACAGCATATTAAAATGCAGAGATATTACTTTGCTGACAAAGGTCCATCTAGTCAAAGCTATGCTTTTTCCAGTAGTCATGTATGGTTGTGAGAGTTAGACCATAAAGCTGAGCGTCGAAGAATTGATGCTTTTGAACTGTGGTGTTGGAGAAGACTCTTGAGAGTCCCTTGGACTGCAAGGAGATCAAATCAGTCAATCCTAAAGGAAATCAACCCTGAATATTCATTGGAAGGACTGATGCTGAAGCTGAAACTCCAATACTTTGGCCTCCTGTTGTGAAGAGCTGACTCATTGTAAGAGACCCTGATGCTGGGAAAGATGGAAGGCAGGAGGAGAAGGGTACGACAGAGGATGGGATGGCTTGATGGCATCACTGACTCGATGGACATGAGTTTGAGCAAGCTCCGGGAGTTGGTGATGGACAGGGAAGCCTGCTTTGCTGCAGTCCCTGGGGTGGCAGAGTCAGACATGACTGAGTCACTAAACTGAACTGAACTGAACTGCACTATTGATGACATTGTTTAATCCTTTGCTTATAATGGTCACTGTCACATTTCTCCATGTAAAGGTATGCTTTCCCTTTGCAAAATGTTAAGGCAAATAATCTGTGGAGCAATGCTCTGGCACCAGACAAACATCCTGTACTCAGTAATCTTTTACCTAGCATCCACTGAATCACTAATTGGAAACTGCAGTACATATTGTTCCAAAGGTTTCTTTATTTCAGTGGCTGTATTTTAAAAGTTTTCCAGGTATTTTTTTTTTCATATGTCTGTTCTTTTTTACACTTTGCTCTATCCTTTCACAATGATTTTGTTATTTTTTTTTATGTTAAGCATAACAATTTTATGGGCTTCCCAGGTGGCACTAGTGTTAAAGAACCCGCCTGCCAATGCAGGAGACATGAGAGACATGGGTTCAGTCCCTGAGTTGGGAAGATTCCCCTGGAGGAGGGCATGCTAACCCACTCCTGTATTCTTGCCACGGACAGAGTAGCTTGTCGGGCTACAGTCCATAAGGTCACAAAGAGTCAGACACGACTAAAGCGACTTAGCATGCAGGCATGGATACCAGTTTTATAGACTCCAATTGTTCTATTACCAGTTGAAGGGAGGGCTTCTTTTCCTATAGTGGTGGTATGTCTATGGTAATATGTTAGAGACCCTGGCATATATAAGCATCTCCAATTTAATGGTTTGGTGTTTCCTAAATTTCTAGAGGTTTCATTATTCTCATACCATGGGACTCTCCTTGATCAGTTCCCCTTGTTGCTCAGATTACTGTCTTCATTTTTGGCACAAAAGGAATTCTTGACTTTGAAAACTCAGTGTTTGCTGCAGTTTTTATTGATTTTGAATCACCTGATATTAATTCCTTGATTTCAGTTTCCTGTGACAGGAGAGTATTGGAATCAGAAACAAGTTATGAGGGCTAGTTTTATCACCCATGCAAGATCAGGAGAATTCACTAGGTCTACACAAGTTTGAGGAACTGGAAATAGGGGCCCGTACAAAACCCATGTGCCCCAAAGCCTTGGGAAGCAGCAAGGAAGTTTGCAACTACCTTGACCAACAGGTGGAAAAGAAAAATAGGTGGGGGTGGGTCTAAATTTACATTGCCTTCCTAATTCAGAAGGCACAGAAAACAACATAATGAATACCATGCATACTCGTGATTCATGTAAAAAAACAAAATTTCTATTTTATTGAAGTACCCCTGTCCAATCATTTTACTCTCTTCCAGAGGCAGCTGCTCTCTTGAACCTTAGTGTTTATCATTCCTAAGCATACCTTTATTCTTTTATTGTGTATGTATGTAACCCTAAATAACATCCAACTTGTCTCTCTAGTCTGATTTTCATTCTCAGCACTTCACCAAGACTGCTCAAAGTCACCAATGACTTTGTTGTTGTTGTTCAGCTGCTCAGTCGTGTCCGACTCTTTGCAACCCCACGAACTGCAGCACACCAGGCTTCCCTGTCTTTCACTATCTAGCAGAGTTTGCTCAAACTCATGTCCATTGAGTTGGTGATGCCATCCAACCATCTCACCCTCTGTCATCTCCTTCTCCTCCTGCCCTCAATCTTTCCCAGAATCAGGGTCTTTTCCAATGAGTCAGTTCTTCACATCAGGTGGCCAAAGTATTGGAGTTTCAGCTTCAGTATCAGTCCTTCCAGTGAATATTCAGGACTGATTTCCTTTAGGATGGACAGGTTGGATCTCCTTGCAGTCCAAGGGACTCTCAAGAGTCTTCTCCAGCAACACAGTTCAAAAGCATCAATTCTTCAGCACTCAGCCTTCTTTATGGTCCAACTGTCACATCCATACATGACTACTGGAAAAACCACAGCTTTTACTAGATGGACCTTTGTCAGCAAAGTGATGTCTCTGCTTTTTAATCCGTTGTCAGGTTTGTCATAGCTTTTCTTTCAAGGAGCAAGCATCTTTTAGTTTCATGACTGCAGTCACCATCTGCAGTGATTTGAATGTGCAGGTTTGAGAGTCTGGCTGCCTGGATTCAAATCCCACCATCTCACCTAACAACCTTGGTGAGTCACCTCCCCTCTCTGAGCCTCACTTCACCCCTCTGTTAAATGAGGATAATAATGGTGAAACGGTGCAGACTGTTGGTTTCATATTTACCCTGGCACACAGTAGGTGCTCAGTTAGCATCTGTTGATTGTATTAGTGATTGTCACCTCCAAGGCCCAGTCTAGCTATCTGAGCACATTCCCCTAACCCAATGACTTAGGTGCTGGCAAATTATGGATATTTCCAAGTCCTCATCTTGCCTGTCCTCACTGCAGCTCTCCAGAGTTACTTCCTCCAACACTCCTTCCTCTGCTTGCTACTCCCTGATTTTCCTCATCCCTTCAAACCACCCTCATCTCATTACTTTGCTCTTCCTCCTTTGCCCTCCCTCAAGATGATGGCATGCCCTCCTTCAAGATGTTGGCATGCTCTGTGGCTCCACGATGGTTCCTCTCATCTCCATCTATACTCTCTCTCTAGATCGTATTTAGTCCCAGGACTCTGAATATATCTACCTAAAATGACTGCCAAATCTCTATCTCTGGCCTGGATCTCTCCCTGAGCTCCTAACTTGCCTATCAAACTGCTCACTAACACCTCCACTCTGAAGTCTTCATATCTCAGACTCAACATGACTACAGTAAAACTTTTTACCTAACTCCCCCAACTGTTTCCTTTATAACCCCACTCCCCTATTTTAGGAAATGGTCCACCACCTACCCAGCTACTCTAGCCAGAAACCAGCAGTCAATCACCATTATCCTTTCTCTTTCACGGGCACATCCAACCTGTCCACCTAGAGGTAAACCAAGGCAAGCTCAAATTATCAGAAACTGATTTGCAATTTGAGAAAACACAGGCTGTAGCAATATACAAGCAAGTCCACTGAGGGTTTGGGTGAGTTGTATTTATGGGCCAGGAGAACAAAGAGGAGAAAGACTGCCCAGAGTCCCAAGGTATTAAATTCATTGGCTTGACAATGGAGAGTATTTTTGATGGATGTTCCCTTGATCAGGAAGTGTTTTTTTTTTCTGTAAGCCAGGCAATTATGGGAAATTAGTTTCTAAGTTCCATTCTGTGGAGGGTGGATGTGTGAGATTCTTCATTTCATATCCTCCTGTTTCAAGACTGAAATCTTTTCACAAACCCCATCAGCAAAATCCATTCACTCTACCTCTCCAATAAGGTACACCTTTAATCCATTCTCTTGGCTACATTTCCAGTATTACAACCACAGGCTAGGCCAGCATAATCTCTTGCCTACTAAATGGTCACCTCACTTCCAGTCTTGCCACCTTCAAATCAGTTCTCCAAACAGAGCAAGCCCAATAAACAAAATCAAATGTAACTCACATCATGTCACTCCTCTGCTCAAAATTCTTCAGTGATTTCTCATGAGGATAAAAGTCAAAATTATTAGTGTAGGATACAAGATGCTAAACTGATCTCACTCCTCTCCACTCACCAATTGCCTTCCAGCCACGCTGGCTTCTTTCTTTAAGACCCTTCATTTTGACATTCCTTCTTGTTCTCTCAACTCAGGTTATCACTTCAAAGATTTCTCCCCTGGCCATTTTACCTAATGAGGTTCCTCCCTTTTTCTTTATTCCAATTTGTTTCCCTCAGAGCACTTACCACACTTCGTAACTTACTTGTAATTTACTTCTTTTTGTTCCCTGTTCGCATTAGAAATGTTAGGTTGAGGGCAAGAACTATGTGTCCTGTTCACAATTACTATTTCCAGCGCTTAGCACGTGATAAGACCCTCGATAAAAACCTAGTGAACCTGGTCTTCCACGCACTCCAAACGTAGTCCCCCATTATCGGAACTCAGCAATAATATCACAAGGGAGAAAACATCGCGCGAAGAAGGAAAGTTTGTTAACTTGTATGAGGTCACTGAGTAGGCAACTAATGAAGTTGAGGTTCGAATCCATGACTATAGGACCTCAGAACCCTCCCTCTCTCACATCACCCTGAGGTTTCTGAGTTTAAAGGACCCCAGCAGCAAAGCCGCTGGTTGGACTCAGAAAAAGAGACACCCCGTAGCGCGGGTTCCCAAAACTCCCAACAGGCCCTGCGTTCAGCGGTCTGGCCAGACGAGTGGGCGGTTCCAGACGCCGGAAGGCGTTCCGGAGACTACGTATCCCAAAAGGCTCCGCAGAACGCCGCTGATTGGCGGAAGGGAGACCGGCGACAGCGTGATGACGTTTCGGGACGCTGGCGCGCGGGATTTAAACTTCGGCGGTTTACGCGGCGTTAGGATTACCAGAGTTGTGGTTTTCTGGCCTTTCGCGTGTCCCTCACCGGAGCTCCTGCCTGCCCATGGACTCGTCGCTTCAGGCTCGCCTGTTTCCTGGTCTCACCATCAAGATCCAGCGCAGTAATGGTGAGGGGCGGGGTCCTTAGACCAAAGGGACCCGTGGGCTGAGACGACTGAAATTACCGCCCCTCCCCAAATGGCAGGCCCTGAATCACTATTGGGGATCCCCCCACACCCCTGGTCTAGGTCTCCTCACTGGCGGTCAGTCTTCCCTGCCAACGGCCAGGGGCCTCTGCACTGGCCATGCATCTCTTTTCCGTCCTCCAGGAGTGGGCGGAACCCCCGTGTCACTGGACTTCTCCGGGAAGTCAGGATTCCCTTCTCCTCCAAAGTTCTCCCCTGAAACTGCCCTGCTCTTGCAGGGACCTCGGCTCTCTGACCCCTCTACTCTCCCATTAACACTGAGCACTTACAATATGTCACGCACCGGATTCAGGGTAATGGGACAATGATGAGATCCCTGCTCTTCATTCAGGAGCTTGCAGTTCTGCCCTCTCCTTTTCAGTTCAGCAGGTATCTCAACTATGGCAGGTCTAATGATACCAGTATCATTAGAATGGTCAGACATAAAGGTCAGGAGTGAGATAGGGAAACCTGAGGGCACTAGAGCCTCAGTGATGTGTTGCAGAATGGCTCACCTAAGCACTAGAGAGACTCCCCTGCCCAAACATACCTTCACCACACTGTAGTCTCTCTTTTGAGTGGGGGTGAGCCCTTATCCTCTGCAGCTCAGTTTTAAGAACTGTTCCCTGCCTAGGTCACTGAGGGATATTCCAAGGGTGGGGTGCCAAGATGTTTGTCTGCTGGGGTTAGAAAGTCAACTGTCCCTTACTTGAGGTCAACTTAACATTTGAGTTTCTGGGATCCTAAAAGTGAAAAAGATAGGTAACTCTGGCCTTTTCATACTGTAGGCATAATTCACAGTGCCAGTATAAGCACTGTGAACTTGGAGAAATCCTGCGTTTCAGTGGAATGGAAAGAAGGAGGAGATACAAAGGGCAAAGAGGTGGGTTCTATGAGTGTGCCTCTACCACAATTAAAAAGACGTGTGGAAATGGAACTTGTGTCAGCCTTGTTTTCGATGCTGACTTGTCCTGTCCAATCTTAAATGTGGTCCTCTTTGAATGCTTTGGGACTTTTTTTAAGGCAGCCTTGTTCTAAATTGAAGCAATCAACAGTTTCTGGTGTGTTTGTAGAAAGCAAGCTGCACAGACTTCTAAAACCTTACTCAACCAAGCTAGCTTCTGAGTGCACACTACCTATGATACTGATTTGTAGAGTAAAATTGATAATCTCTTTGGGGAGACAAAAGTATGTTTCTGAAACACCCAATAATAGAAGTCAAGGAAATGGCAACCCACTCCAGTACTCTTGCCTGGAGAATTCCACGGACAGAGGAGCCTGGTAGGTTACAATCCATGGGGTCGCAAAGAGTTGGACACGAACTGAGCGACTTCACTTCACTCAGACAGAATAATGCTAGAGCAGCTCAGAGATGGAAACTCACTGAAGATGAGCTTGTGGAGGTGGGGCCAAAGAAACAGTGAGGTGGCCCTCATGGGGACTGGTAAAGAAACTGACTCCAGGCACAGAGGAAGGCTTAGTATGCTTGGCAGCAGCAAAAGACTGAAAAAGGAGACTAGAAGGCCTTTGTCTCTGGCACTAAGATGTTTAAGATCTTATTCTGCAGACAATGGGAGCCTTGGAAGGATTTTGAGAAGAAGGGATATGCCTAAGACATTTATGTTTTAGAGGCATGTGGTGTAGTGAAGAGGTCACCAGGTTGAGTACAAAAACCTGGATTCTAGAGTTTGGCCCTTCCACTGCTTAATGTGTTCTCAAGCACATTTCTGCTCCTATTAGAAATTCAGCTTCATTTATGAAATAAGGATGATAATAATATCTACTCATAGGGTTGTTTGAGGACTTATTCAACAAATCCTCCTGTACTGGTTCCAAAATGCCAGCCAGTGTGTTTGGTGTTGGGGATACAGAGGTGAATAAGACAAACCTGGACCCGATTCCGTGAAGCTTAATGAGATAACACATGTAAAGTTCTTGCTTAGCATAGTGCCTTATGGTAGGTACATGTTTATTTAGGTGGTATATTTGAGAAATAGAAGAACTGAATTCTTTATATTATCTGTCCTTGAATCAAGAGGTTCCTAAAATCCCTTTCAACCATATATTAGCAGTTCCTTGTGACTTGTTTTTGTTGTTTGTTTAGAAATACAATTCTTATTGCGTCTTAACTCCAGCTCAAATGTTGCCTATGGAATGAAGTTCAACCTTCTTAGTGAGGCATTCAAAGCCTTTTCAAGATCTGATCCCAATCAACTTTTGCCCTTCTTACCATACACTCCTCCCAGAGTATCCTGTGCCAGGGACAAGTGGGGCAGTTCTCCACCCTGTGACCCTGCCCAGTGCCTCGCTGCCTCCACACTCTTATCTCTTACTGAATCATTAACATGAGAATCAGTTAATGTCAGAACTCTGGTCTCCTGCATTGTTTATGCTCTCTGTAGTTTAGGGATTGGAATTGGGGTGAAGGGGTAGTAGTAAGGGTTTGTACCTGTCCAAGAAAGGTGAATAGAAGTGTGGCTACTGAAGTACTCACCGGCTTTTGCACTTGATTGTTCTGTCTTCCTTGTGTATCCCATGCTGCTTGGGTTTCCAGCCCTTTGTGCATATGGCTTCTCTCCCCCACTAGAATATGAGCTCACTGAAGGCAAGGGAAATACATGTCTTTTTTATTTTTCGGTTGCACTGGGTCTTCATTGCTGCATGTGGGCTTTCACTAGTTGAAGTGAGTTGGGTCAACTCTCTAGTTGCAGTGCATGGGCTTCTCATTGCAGTGGCCTCTCTTGATGCAGAGCATGGGCTCAGTACTTACGACTCTAGAGCTTGAACCCAGTAGCTGTAGCACACGGGCTCAGTTGCCCCCCAGGATGTGAAATCTTCCCAGCTGTCCAACCATGGGACCTCTAGGGAAGTCCAATACTTCACTTAGTTCACTTTTTTTTTTTTTCCCTACTTAGTTCACTTTTGAGTACCTTTCCTCTACTGCCTTACTCATGCCTAATGAGTGTTTGAAGAAGCTGTTAATACATAAAAGTTGCATATGTAGGAAGTGAAGTTCTCACCCTGGAGTACATGCTGCAGCTCTTTCACATTTTATCACAAATGTGAAACACAAATATTGGTACTATTTTGGTGTGTTTGAATCTGCTGTGAAATATGCTGATGAAGCCTGAGTTGTCCCTAGAGGGTTTCAGGACTCTGGTGATGGATGTAAACCTGGAATTGTGACCTCATTGCCAGTATGCACAGGAAGTAGGGAAGGCATGAGTAGGATGCTGTGACTGGGGAAGAAGTTTCTGGGCCCAGTAGAAAATGTAGGTAGATTTAGGACTAGGTAACAGTTCTGGGGGACTTGTCCCCGCCCATAAGATCCTGAAGGGCCCTCCATTTGACTTTCAGTGGGACAGTTAGAATCGTTTCCCCCTTGGTGGCAGGCAGCAAGAGGTGTTCAGGGGCTGTGCACAGCAGGACACCACTGCCCCACAGAGCAGTAGGGAGCCAAGTGGCCAAGATCTACTGTGGACTGTCTGACTGTTTGCCTGCCTGTCTGCCTTCCTCCTCACCTCATTCTCATCACTAACATCTACGATTGGCTTGGAAATCAGAAACCAATATCCATCTAGATGGTAAAACACGATCAGGGAATAAATATTTGTTTATAGCTGTTAGTACTTGGCGGAACTTAAAGTTTATAAAATATAAATTTAGGGGAGCCTTGATTGCAGAAATGCAATTGAATTGAACAAGCTATGTTGTTCACAGAAACTTTTACTTTCTCCTTGCAGGTAGATTTTGATGATGTGGCTGCAGTAAACCCAGAACTCTTACAGCTTCCTCCCTTACACACGAAGGACAATCTTCCCCTGCAGGAGAATGTAACGGTTCAGGTAGCTGCCAGTCATCTGACTACAGCCAGCGCCCCAGAGGATGCACTCGGCTTGTTTGGGTCTTTGCCGGTTTGTTTTCTGGGTCTGCTTAGTACCTCAGCACAGCACATGGGCCCAGGATAAGCCCTTGAGAGCTGATAAGACCCATATGTTGTGGTGGTTTGTTTTGTTTTTCAGAAACAAAAGCGCAGATCAGTCAGCTCCAAAATTCCTGCTCCAAAGGAAGGTAAATGGATTTCTACTGGCTCACTGTCATGGGGTTTGTGCCAGAAATGATGTTCTTGGGGCTCAGGAAGCTGTGAGTAGACTCATGGTTCCAGTTTAGAAGACTGCTACTGTGTAGGCTGAGTCCTGCCCTGTCTTCCACGCCTCTTTCTGTGAGGAAGAATCCAACCTTCAGGGAGGAAGAAATGGAGAGGTGTTGGTCAAAGGGTACAAAGTTTCAGTTAGGCAAGATAAAGAAGTTCTGGAGATTTAATGTATATCATAGGGCCCATGATCAATGAGTGTATTGTATACTTGGAAATTTACTATGAGGGTAGATCTTATGTTGAGTGATTTACTACACAAGGAGGAAACTTTGGAGGTGATGAGTAGATTTATAGTATTGATTATGATGATGGTTTTATGGGTGTATACTTACCTCCAAATCCATCAAGTTGTACACAGAAAATACTTCCAGCTGTTTTCATGTCAGTCCTACCTCTGAGGCAGTTAAAAAAAAGAAAAAGAGAATTCAACCATTCAACCTATAGCTTAGACCAGTCTCTTTGGATCTGGTGCATTTGGGAAATTTGCCAACTGGCCTGGAAGCCTTTCCTGTGGAATCCGGAGCAGTAATCAACCCAATTCTGGGCTTGTTTTCTCTCCCTGGGGAAATGACATGCCTTGGAGTGAGGTGGTGAGTGGGCTGTCAGAAAAGCTAGGTCAGGGCCATTTAGAGGTAGAGTTGGTAGTGCTGTGGTGATCTGGGGGTAGGGTGGGATTGGATAAATAATAGCAGTGCTTTGAACTCCAGGAGAAAGTTAGGCTTTCTCTGCAGGAATCAGCATAAATATACTTTAACTACAGTAGGCTGTGACGGGTGCCTATATGCACAAGCTGCCCAAATAATCGTTTATAACCCAGAGCCAGCTATACTTCACAGCCTGCACAACCTGTCCCAGTTGGGGGGTTATCACTATCTCAACATAATCCAGCCACCCTGGGCCCAGAGACTACATGACTGGAGCTTCAGGTTTCCCAGGGGCCCAAGGTGAAAGATGGGATGGTTTTGAGCTTGAGCTAGGCATGAGTAGTGTAATGCTGGCCCTCTCTTGCTGGCTGTTTAATCCAGTGCCCTCCAGGAGAAATATGGGTGGCAGTGGTCTCTCCACATGCATGTCCCAAAAGGATATTGCCACTGCTCCTTTTTTTTCTGACTATGCCATCTGGCTCATGGGATCTTAGTTCCCTAACCAGGGATTGAAGTGAGAGCACGGAGTCCTAACCACTGGACCCCTACCGATGCTTTTAATAGGAAAAAAATAATGATTCATTATTGAATGAAAGACACTGAACAGTAGAAGTGAAACACAAGATCACAGATCTTTTGAGAAACAGGAATATTATAATAATTCATGCTCTTTGTGAAAAACATAGATTGATTATATAGAGCCATCACATCAGCCTAAACTTAGGAAACTCAAATTCCATATAAGTTGATATTTGTTTATATGACACTAGTGTTTTAATTCCAAATTTACTACTTTTATTTTATAGGTACATTATTTCTTATGGAGGGAAGCAATATAGATGAGTAGAAATTGACAAGAATTAAACTTGTTTAAACAACTTAATTGTATAAACTCAGTTAAATTGTTTCTGTCAGTTAAGCATTCTTTTAAGATTCTAGAAAAATCAGTTGCTGGTTCCATGGCTTCTGACGATGTGGCCCAGGTCTGGCTCTGTAAAGAGTCTTGGAGCAGTGGAAAAAGCCCTGATCATGAAATCTGGCAGTCTTGGGTTCACATCTTGACTCTGACACTTACTAATTGAGTGACACTGGGCAAATTGCTTAATTTCTCTATGCCTTAATGTCCCCTTTTATCAGTTGGTAATACTGGTATTTACCTCTGGACGTTTGGGAAGATTGTAGAATGGTAGGTGCTGCTGCTAAGATTAAAATGCTTTTTTTCTGGGATTAGGTCTGTGTCTCCAGAAGTGATCTCAGATTGTCTATAGGTCCTTCCATTTACTCCAGACAAATGCTCTTGTGGGAGCCCTCAGGAGCTCTCAGACTGCAGAATGTAACAAATTAGTTTTAGGGTCACTGGTACTTGGGCTTCCTTTCTTTGGATGGAAGGAATGGGAAGTTGGTGGGCTCCTTTCCAGGTGTCAGGACCCATCTCACTCTGTATAGAATCTTGAAGGGAAAAAAGAAAAGAATCTTGAAGGGTTACCCTCGACCGCCCCTCTATTTTGCTTTCCGATCACGATGCACTGACTGACCGCGGCCCTTGGTCCTTCAGGTGTCCGAGGCCGCTCTACTCGCATGTCCACTGTCTCAGAGGTTCGAATCACCACTCAGGAGAATGATATGGAGGTGGAGCTGCCTGCATCTGCAAATTCCCGCAAACAGTTTTCAGTTTCCAGTGAGTAATGAATCTATTCTCCCTGTTTGAGGCCCCAGAGCAGCGCTTCACACATGGCCCTGAACCTGTTTTAGAACACCCTAGGATTCCTGTGCTCCCTGGCTTTTACACCGTCTGCACCTGCACCACTGCTCCCCTATCTGAAAATCCTTTCACTTTACTCTTTAAACTTTATTTAAACATAATATATATACATACAGGAAAGTGAACCTGTCACTGACTATATAGTTCACAAAGTAAACACACTCATATAACTGACACCTAGATCAAACAGCATTACCAGCACTCCAAAAGTCCCCTTCAGGCCCCCTCCCAATTCCTAAGCCCCAAGGGTATCTGTGTCCTGACTTGGGATCACATAAATTAACTTTCTCTTTTTTTGGATATAAATGGGATTTTAAAAACATTTTTAATTGTCAATTTGTACTAATTATTAGTAAATTAAGTGATTTAAAGTCAAGATAAACAAAAGGGTCATGGCCAGATATGGGAAGTTGCTGTGGGTTGTACCTCTCTGGTTGTACCTTTCTAGGTTGAACCAGGTTCCCATTTTCCTGGTTTTCAGTCCTTGCTCCTGTTAACCACTTGGGTTCTGAAGTCAGAAATTTTTCCCAAATGAGCTGAAAGGCCTGGCCTGGCCTAAGAACCCTTCCTTGGTCAAGCCTAAAGAGGTCAGACCTTTCAGAGGCTTTTCCCTTCATAGTGAAGCACATACTGAGCAACTCACGTAACCTTTAAGATTTCTTGACACAAGGAGCCAACCCTTGGCGGGGCTTACTGGGTTCAAAGTGTGGATTGAAATGAAGGGAAAAGCCTGAGCTCTGCTTACACAATAGAACCTGAGCCCTTGCTGAGCTGGCAGTCAGTAGCCATCCTCCTGGCCTGTGACCCTCTAGGGCTCAGATGAACACAGCTGCCGTATGCCTGCCTGCTTCTCCAATGACTCTTGTTCCCCCACAGCCGGCCCCTCTAGGCCCTCCTGCCCTGCAGTGGGTGAAATACCATTGACGATGGTCAGCAAGGAGGTGGAAGAGCAAGTCCACTCCATCCGAGACAGCTCTTCTGCAAACTCTGTGAAGTCAGGTAGACATAGTGAGCTGCCTGGTACCCTGCTTCCAGTGCAGGATAGGAGTCCCAACCTGCTTGCTTGGTACCTGAGTTCAAACCATGTCTGTCACATGGGGACATGTTGCCCTGTGGCCACGGAATCAGTCTGTCACAACAGGTGAATCTGTCACTCACTGCCAGCTGGCAGAAGCTCTCTGATGTAACTGAGGTGTTGTCACAGCTAAAGTCTTGGTCAACACCTAAACAACAGCCCAGAGTGACCACCAAACAGGGATGATCTCATCTCTACTGATTGTTGAGAAAAAGGCCACAGAGGCATAGAGAGAACTTGGGTTAGACCTGGAGTGCTCATATTAGCAAGTTTCTTGTCAGCTTGGTCATCCCAAGAATCATAGCTGGTGCTTCCTCTCTTTGCATGTGGTGATGTAACAGCAAGGGTCTAGAGAAGGTCTAGCCATGAGAAAGGCCCAGGACTCCACAAAACAGCCAGAGAAGAGCAGGCTGGCCTAGACAGGTAAAAGAGAGGGCTTCCTCTTTTTTCTCTTCCACTAGTTCGGAGGAAATCATGTATTGTGAAGGAAATGGAAAAAATGAAGAACAAGCGAGAAGAGAAAAGAGCCCAGAACTCTGAAATGAGAATAAAGCGAGCTCAGGTACCTTTCTTGGGAAGCGTGGGCAAGGGTTTTTGTGGGGTTTTTTTGTTTTTGTTTTTCATTTATTTTTATTAGTTGGAGGCTAACTACAATATTGTAGTGGGTTTTGTCATACATTGACATGAATCAGCCATGGATTTACATGTATTCCCCATCCCGATCCCCCCTCCCACCTCCCTCTCCACCCGATCCCTCTGGGTCTTCCCAATGCACCAGGTCCAAGCACTTGTCTCATGCATCCAGCCTGGGCTGGTGATCTGTTTCACCCTAGATAATATACATGTTTCAATGCTGTTCTCTTGGAACATCCCACCCTCACCTTCTCCCACAGAGTCGAAAAGTCTGTTCTATACATCTGTGTCTCTTTTTCTGTTTTGCATATAGGGTTATCGTTACATCTTTCTAAATTCCATATATATGTGTTAGTATACTGTAATGGTCTTTATCTTTCTGGCTTACTTCACTCTGTATAATGGGCTCCAGTTTCATCCATCTCATTAGAACTGATTCAAATGAATTCTTTTTAATGGCTGAGTAATATTCCATGGTGTGGGCAAGGGTTTTTGGACAGACATCCTTAACTGCAACCTTGCCAGCAACAGAGATAGATAATGGTTCAGCCCCAGCATTTCTGAGGCTCCAGTTCTGATAACCAAGAATTTTAACCAGTTTCTCATCAGGATTCAGAGAACAAATGATTCAGATATTTTTCTGAAGGCCTTCAGATGATGAATATTTCCTACTGGTTATTCAGTGGGCACGCCCATCACACAGTGCAATGGCAATTGCCTGCTTCCCCTGACCTCCTAGTTGTGCATATTTGGGGTGCCACAGTGGGGTTCCAGTTTGGATTATCTCCCTTTGGTAGGGTTAATGGCACAGGAGAATCCCAGCCTGCTGGTCTCCTAAGACATGGGGCAGTGGCTCTTGCCCCGCTTCCTAGAGTGGTTGCTGCATGCCTAGGCCCCCCTGCCAATCTCTGTTCCCAAAACTTTGTGCCTGGATTCTCTGCCCAGTGCCAGAGTCAAGGGCAATGAGATCGTGTGGGGGTTTTGTCAGCCCTGAAGGGGCTGTGTGCATAGGAAGGGCTGTTGTTGCCACTGCCTAGCACTGAGGCCTGCGAACACTTACACCTTGGCAGTCAGTCCTTCTTCAATCTTACACCAAACAGGAGTATGACAACAGTTTTCCAAACTGGGAATTTGCCCGCATGATTAAAGAATTTCGAGCTACTTTGGAATGTCACCCGCTTACTGCAGCTGATCCAGTAAGTAATCCCAAAGGGCTTCTATCTCCTTCCTGAGTAGGCATACAAGTTTTTAAAAAATATAGTTGTTTCAATATCGTGTTAGTTTCAGGTATACAGCAAAGTGATTCATTTTTTAATATATATAAAAAGATTCTTTTCCCGAGCAGGCGTATAACTGAGAGACAGAAACATCTCTTAAAGGAATGATAGCGTACAGGAATCGTCACTCACCCTCAAGGGGTTTTTAAATACCCTTTGGTGGGCTGGAGCTAGCAAGGGCTAGATGGGAGACTCTTTTTAAACCCCCTTCCAGCCCCTATCCTCTCTGCTTCAATAGATTGGCTAGATTCTTAATACTAACCATAAAAGTGTGCTGAAACCTCCTATAGGCAGCAGAGTGATAAAACTGAGAAGAAAATTCAGAGCCACCTTCTTGTGCTCTAAAGTAACTATGAGCACAGTGGGTCCCAGTGTTAGGTCTCGGCCCCTGACTGGGCCAGACATATGATTAGTAAGGGAGGGGTTCTGGACAAGCTTTCTTTCAATATTGCACTGACCTTTTGCTGATGGTTGGTCTTCTCTCCTCCTCCTGAAGATTGAAGAGCACAGGATATGTGTCTGTGTTAGGAAACGCCCACTGAATAAACAAGGTAAGCCCCACCTTACCTTAGCCTCAAGGTAAGTTCAGTCAGAATGAGGCTTCAGACTGAGGGTCTCCTGTGTCCAGGGAGCATCCCCTGAAATACTGTCCTTCTGCAGAGTTGGCCAAGAAAGAAATTGATGTGATTTCCGTTCCTAGCAAGTGTGTCCTCTTGGTCCATGAGCCCAAGTTAAAAGTGGACTTAACAAAGTATCTGGAGAACCAAGCATTCTGCTTTGACTTCGCATTTGATGAAACAACTTCAAATGAAGTCGTCTACAGGTTAGTCCCTTGCCTCTGTTTCCCCCTTCCTCCTGACACTTTCCTCTTTCCAATGTGGGACATTGTGGTAACACTTGCACTCTCAGGCATGCCGACTCTGAATCCCTTCCTGGCTTCCTCTTGTGTCTTCTTTGGATGGACCATGACGCAGAGCTGGCTCTGGCTTCTAGCACGAGGAAGACCCTGTTGGGGCTGTCACATCCTATGTTTCAGCTTTAGTGGACCATGCTTGAGTAGACAGAGTGAAGTATTCCCACTGCCCTATTTGAGACAGGGCTGGGCAGGCCTCGGGTTCTTCCTGTGTCTGTGTCTGTGTCCTGTACAGCCACCACTGGGCTTAGCAGACTCAGCAAACTAGAGCTGCTTGGTCCAGTACAGCTCCCACTAACTTCATGTGACTGTTTAAATAAAAGTTAGAGAAAATTAAAAATTCAGTTCTTCAGGGGCTTCTCTGGTGGTCCAGTGGTTAAAAATCTGCACCTCCACTGCAGGGGGCATGGGTTCAATCCCTGATTGGAGAGCTAAGATTCCCACGTGCTGTATAATGCAGTCAAAAGAAAATTCAGTTTTTTAGTTACACGAGCCACATTTCAAGTGCTCAGGAGACATGTCTGGCAGTGGCTACTATTGGACAGTACTGATAGAGATCATTTCCAGTATCCATCCTCAGAAAGTTCTATTGGACAGCGCTGCTCTAGACTAGAGGTTGATAAACTGTAGCTCATGGGTGAAAGTTGGCTTGCAACCCCTTTTTATATGGCTCTCAAATTAAGAGTGGATTTTGTGTTTTCAAAGAATCATTAAATATATATATATCTATATATTTCAGACTTCCCTGGTGGTCCAGTTGCTAAGATCTGAGCTCACAATGCAGGGGGCCCAGGCTTGATCCCTGGTCAGGGAACTAGATCCCACATGCTGCACTAAGCTGCAACTAAAGATTCCACTTGCCACAACGAAGACCCAGTGCAGCCAAATAAATAAATTTTTAAAATGTATATATATGTATACATATGGAAGAGACCTATGTGGCCCACAAAGCTTAAAATATTTTAGGCTTTTACTTTAAAGAGTTTCTTTGATCTTTGTAGTGTATCATATGCTGGAAGTGGGCTGCTAAGCTCAAGCTTCCCTCTGTGTCTCCAGGGTAGAGGAGGTGCTGGTGGCTCAGTTAAGAGTATGGACCAGCCTGCTCCTGGCCAGTTGGTCCAGCCCTCCCCAGGTGGCTAGGAGAATTTCAGATTTGTAAGTGGGGCTGGGGTCAGGTGGGACCACTTTGCTTGGAAGGAAGCCCCCAGGAATCCTGCTTTGGAAGGGTAGCAGAACCACGTTCTAGGAAGCACATTTAAGCAGAGATATGCATGCTTCCACATCCTTTCTCTTAGGTTCACAGCAAGGCCACTGGTACAAACAATCTTTGAAGGCGGAAAGGCAACCTGTTTTGCGTACGGCCAGACGGGAAGTGGCAAGACTCATGTGAGTATTGAAGCCTGGCAGAGAGTGATCCTGCCCTTAGTGCACCTCTGGGCCTCTGAAAAGAAGGACAATGAGTTTCTTGCAGAAGGTCCCCTCGGTGCAGATGCCCCACCTCCAGATGCTCTTGCTGTGCCAGGGGCAGGGAAGGGCCTTAGCAGGTCCAGATCCCCTCCTGGCTGTAGTATGGCCCACGGTGGTGGTGGAGCCAGCAATGCTCTGGCCTAGGCCAAGGCACAGTCTCCTGTCCCTTCCCTTTGCAGACGATGGGTGGAGACCTCTATGGAAAAACCCAGAACGCATCCAAAGGGATCTATGCGATGGCCTGTAAGTAGTAAGTTCTGCCCAACAGGGCTGGGCACAGAAGGGCAGGTTGCTTAGTTAATCCAGGTTTTCCCCACAGCCCGGGATGTCTTCCTCCTGAAGAATCAGCCCAGATACCGGAGACTGGACCTGGAAGTCTATGTGACATTCTTCGAAATCTATAATGGGAAGGTAGCTGGTGGGGAGCCCTCTGTTTATGCTGCTGGGGCCCCTGAAGTTTCTAAAATCCTGAGGTTGTCTAGAAATTGTAGAAGACAAACACCCTGTGTGTTGTCATGCCTTTGGGCCACTTTGCTCAAATGTGTGGGAGGTTTTCATCCAATGGTGGGATGGGAGGCACGCTCAACAAGTAAGCAGGAACACGCCTCAGGGCTTCCTCTCAGACCGGAGGTTCGCTTATGTGTGCCCTGTCCTCCTGCCATGCACCTCCCTCTTAAATCTCTCTTCTCCTGATCGCACACATTCATTCTCATAGTCATATTCTCTCTATATTTCTATGTATCTCTCTACGCTTTTGCAGAGTCACCTTCCCCGAGTGGGGTCTAGATAATAGCTAATGTGGCTTAGTAACATGTTACTAGGTACTGAGCACTATTCTAAGCACTTAACTTGTCTCAGCTCATCACCACAACCCTACTAGGAAGTATCACCATTACTGTCACTATTGCACAGATGAGAAACCAGGCTGGATGGCTAAGTACCTTCCCAGGTCACACAGCCAGTAAAGAAGGAGGGTCACATCAAACCGAGGTAGCCCAGTTCAGCTCCCAGGTGAACTGCTCGCTGCTCATCTATCATCCAGTATAGCCTCTCCCACCTTTCCTGTTCCCAGTCATTGTCTAAGCTGCGACAGGCTCTGAAGCGGGGAGGGATCGGTGGGTGCCTGGCGCCTGACGTCCTTGGCCTTGTTCCCCTGCCTGGCACAGCTGTTCGACCTGCTCAATAAGAAGGCCAAGCTGCGCGTGCTGGAGGACGGCAAGCAGCAGGTGCAGGTGGTGGGGCTGCAGGAGCGCCTGGTGAGCTGTGCTGACGACGTCATCAAGATGATCGACATAGGCAGTGCCTGCAGGTCAGAGTTTGGCCGGAGGAAGGGGCCACCATCTAATGCCGGGTCAGGCGATAGATGAGCACTGAGCCCTTTGCTGTTTCCACAGAGCACCGCTTCCCCCAGCTTGGTGAGGGCTCTGAAGGCCTCTGCCTTAACTGGTCGCAATGGGGCCAATGACCCAGGGTAAGACTCGTCAGGGGCGAGTCAAATCATCTTGAATCTGACAAGGGCAGGCTTTATTACCAGACTCTTATCCAGAGGCATGCTTCCCGACTTCTCTGAGTTTCTCCTTGCTGTTCCCTCTCTCTCTGGTGGGGGACAGAAGCTCTGGGTATGCTCTAGCTGGAAGGACGGGGCCAGAGCTTCTGTGTAGACGGAGGAAAGTGCTCTTCTACCAGGGCCCTCAGCGTGGTGCAGTGGGTGCTGCGCAGTTTATGGAGGGCCAGGGAGGGGCTACCTCGCCAGGGCCCTCGAGTTTAGCAAGTGGGTTATGACAGTCCCTCCTTCCCTATGTGGCCTGCAGCAGAGGTAACTCATGCTTCCCCACAGCCTATGGCCCAGGCTCTGACCAAGGCCTTCACATAGAATTCAGTACTTTGGCTGCCAGGGTAAGCCATGCCCAGAGTGGCTGGAGGGAGGAGGGCTGCTGCCCAGGGAAAGAAAGACAGAAGTGGGACAGGATGACACAGAACGTCTAAGAGTCCTGGCCCGTCTCCCTCTCCTCCTGGAGAACTGAGCCTTGGAGCCTCAGGTGCCATGGTGGCTGGTGACCACCCCCCTGGGAGCTCATAGCCCTTCTTTGTCCTCCTTTGCCACAGGACCTCTGGGCAGACATTTGCCAACTCCAACTCTTCCCGCTCCCACGCCTGCTTCCAGATTCTTCTTCGAACCAAAGGGAGAGTGCATGGCAAGTTCTCTTTGGTGGATCTGGCAGGGAACGAGCGAGGCGCAGACACTTCCAGTGCCGATCGGCAGACCCGCATGGAGGGTGCAGAAATCAACAAGAGTCTCCTGGCTCTGAAGGTAGCCGGACCCAGCTTCAGGGGAGCGGGTGGCCCTGGAGGGCTGCTGGGAGGAGAGGGTGGGAGGGAGAGGGCATCTTGAAAGGAAGGAGGGGACCTCAGCTTCCCCTGCTGTCCCCCAGGAATGCATCAGGGCCCTAGGACAGAACAAGGCCCACACCCCATTCCGCGAGAGCAAGCTGACACAGGTGTTGAGGGACTCCTTTATTGGTGAGAACTCAAGGACCTGCATGGTGAGTTGGGTCCTTTGGAGTGGTGCAGTCCTGTCCCTGGGCAAGAGGCTCTGTATTCTTGACTAGCTGGGTTTCCAGGCTCTAATTTAACTGGGCTTCACCCCCTGCTTTTGGGCAGCAGGGTCCTCTTTGCCTATGCAAGCAGGGAGGAAAGGATCTTCTCCCTTTACTGTGTGTCTATGCACCTCTTTGGTCAGGGGAGGTCGTTCCTCCCATACCTGATGAAAAAAAAGGGGCTACAGGATTCAGGAGGAGGACCTTTGGGGAAGCAGAAGAGGCAGTCCTCGTCCCTCTGTGACTTCCCTCAGGGGTCACTGGCTCCCAGCCTAGGAAATTGGAGAGGCCCTCAGCCTTGGGTGACTTTCTGTCCCCTTATTTTATCCATAATGCTTTCTAGCTCAGATCTGCCCACCTTCTTCGCCAGGGAATATCCTGCTGAGGAAGGTGGGAATTGCTGACTAAGCTCTAAACCCCTCTCCCTAAGGCAGTATCTCTGAGCCCAGGTGAACTAAAGTTTCCAGCAGTAATCACAGGGCCTTGCATTGTGACCCTGGTGAGAGGAATGGGTCAGTAAAGAAGTAAAGAAGCAGGAGTAATCAGATACACCAGCAAAAACAGGGGACTGATCTTTAAAGCACCTTAGTTAAAAATAAATAAATAAAAAATAAAGAACCTTAGTTTGCAGGGCCCATGGGGCAAGTTGCCTGGCACACAGTGGGTATTTAATGAGCTCTACCCCCAATTCCTGGCAGCCTCTCCAAGAGCACCCTTACCCTGGGATCCTTGACCATTAACTGCCCATTCCTTCTTTTGCAGATCGCCATGATCTCACCAGGCATAAGCTCCTGTGAATATACTTTAAATACACTAAGATATGCGGACAGGTACTGGTACCTATGCCAGGTGGGATGGGAAGGGGCAGGGTTGGGGAGGGAATGGTAGTGATGAGAGTGGGGAGGGGGCTCTGGGGACTCTGCCTATTATCTCCTCTTCTGTGACTTGCTAAGTCTGAGGCCTGGGAGTCCATATATGATGCTACAAGGTTTTTCTCTGATCCCCTTCAGGCTCTGGTGGGGAGCAGTGTGAATAAGAATCCTTCTAGGTCAAAGCAAAGCCACTACTCCATCTCCTTGAAGTCTCAAAATCTGAGTGGTGCTGCACACTTGTGAGTGCCAAAGAGGCTGCTGTGGGAGCTGTGACCTTCTTGTTTTCTCAGGGTCAAGGAGCTGAGCCCCCACAGTGGACCCAGTGGGGAGCAGCCAATTCAGATGGAAACAGAAGAGATGGAAGCCAGCTCCAACGGGGCCCTGAGTGCAGGCAATGTAAGGGGAGGTGGGCCAGGCAAGCAGGAAACATGGCCAACTGAGATGGAGACTGGGCCACACTGTTACATGTCTCCTTTTGCCCCCTTAGTTCTCCAAGGAAGAGGACGAACTGTCTTCCCAGATGTCCAGCTTCAATGAAGCCATGACTCAGATCAGGGAGCTGGAAGAAAGGGCCATGGAAGAGCTCAAGGAGATCATACAGGTGGAGAGCTGGCCCTGGGCTCAGTGTCATTCTTTGAATGTGACCCAGGCTTTACATGCACACATACACCTCCTTAGTCTTCTGGCTGGGGTGGCAAGAGGCAGCCTTCTAGATCAACATTTCTTAATTCTCCAGTTAGTTATTCAGCTGCTGTTATAGGGCAGCTAATTACCACACCTCCTTCTCCAGCCTGGCACACATAGGCTTTCCCCCATCTTCCTGGCTGGAGCTAGTCTCTCTCTCCTGTGCTCCCGACTGAGGGTTTGAAGGGTAGCCAGGTCTCGTCTGTTTATGAATGTTGGTGAATACTTTCTATATACCACCAGCTCCTGTGCTGAGACCAAGGGCCAAAATCATGAAGTATGGATAACGGGCCTAAAGAAAGACTTGATCAATCCCAACTCTTCTATTTATGAGCCAGTTTCCTCGTGAAAGTCGTTGAGGCTCACTGGGCCCCAAATTCTTCATCTCCAAAATGGTCAAGACAAGATGGTTATATCTAAGGATTAAGTGATACGTTGTTAAACACTCAGCCTTCCGCAGCATGTGGTCAGCCTTTAGTAGGTGATGCTACCACTGCCGTGATCCCTCCTGTGGAAGCGCAAGCTGGGTAGAGGCCTGAAGGGCATCCTAACAGTAGGGCGCTCCAAGTGTGGAGCAGAGGGGGCAGCTTGGGGCACTTAGATCTGAGAAGGGGCATGCCAGGTAAGTGTCTGCATGTGTCCTCCCTCCCTCAAGTGCTTGGAGTCCAAATGTGGGAAAGGGCGTGGCACTTTCAGAAAGAGCAATAGGTTCACTCTGGCCATAGCAAAAGGTGTGAGCAGGTGAAGGAGGGAGATCAAGGCTGTGAATGGGTCAGCCAGGACCTGATGCTGAAGGACATTATGGTTCATACCAAAGGCCTGGACTTCGTTATGAGGGCAGTGAATGCCTTTGAAGGGAGTAAGGCAGAGTGGTGACTTGGTGACGTGAGAGCTTTAGGTGTCTTACTGTGGCCACAGTACAGAGCCTGGCTTCAGGACCTGGGGAGAGCATGAGCAGAAACGCTTAGAGTTAAGAGCAGTTAGGAGATTGTTAGAGTTCAGGAGAGACACTGGTGCCTAGACTAGCTGTGACCACGGTCGTGGGATTGACAGGAAGGCATGAGATTTAAGAACCATTTCAGGGGTGTAATTGTTAGGATTGGGGGACAAGCAGGGTGAAAGAATTTTTGCTCAGATTTCTGGCTTGGGCATCAAGATATGCATTTGACCTCAGGGACAGGGACAAGTTTTTGGCAGGCAGGGGAAAGACAGATTCAAGCTGAGAGTTATGGGGAGAAGGTCAGGAGGCAGGGTCAGGGCCATGGCTAGAGGAATAGGCATCTGCATTACAGATGGTAGAGCCCTGGGGATGATTTGCTAAATCGGTTTGGTCATTATTGACCTGACAAGGTCCATCTTGTGTTGCTGCAGCAAGGGCCAGACTGGCTGGAGCTCTCCGAGATGGCTGAGCAACCAGACTATGACCTGGAGACCTTTGTGAATAAAGCAGACTGTGCCCTGGCCCAACAAGCAAAGCACTTCTCAGCCCTGCGAGGTGGGTGCAGCCGGAGGGTGGGGCCTCTGGGTGATGGTGGCTCTGCCTGAGGGAACAGGGTCTCTGAGAGACCTGCTGACTTCAAGTGTACCACCCCTGCCTTCCAGATGTCATCAAGGCCTTGCGCCTGGCCATGCAGCTAGAAGAGCAGGCCAGCAAACAAATAAGCAGCAAGAAACGGCCCCAGTGACAACTGCAAATAAAGATCTGTTTGGTGTCATACCCAGCCTTTCCCCTCCCCTCCCCTCCTCAGCGAACTCTGGGCACCTGGTGGGCCTGAGCTGGGACAGGCTTTGGTAAATGCCAAGTATGGGCGCATCTGGGCCCAGGTCAGCTGGGAGGGGTCAGTCAGTGTGCAAGGGACACAGCTTTCCTTTTCCTCACTTGCAGCCACGAAGGGAAAAAGGATGGAAGGAATGAGCTTTTAGTTATCCTGTGCACTGACTGCCCTTCTCTCCAAGAGGGGAAGGCTCTCCATCGTAGAGTTTTCCTCTAGGCAGCAATCTGCTCGTGTGAACTAGCTGCTGGGGGAGAGCTCCCTGGGGCTGTCCTGGCTCTGGGGAGAGAAGGAGCCTATAGTTCAGTTCTGCTGGCCCTGGCCTGCCTTCCACACCCTTGGTCCAGCCACTAATATATCTTGTACTTTAAAAAAAAAAAGTTTCCTGGGGCCGCCTCCTTCCCTGCTGGTTTTTGAGGCCAATGAGGATCCCTTCTGTTTTATGTGTTTATACATTATGTCTAATAATAAAGAGAAAAAATCAGCCTGTTGAGTGGTGTGTGGGAAGAGCCTTCTGGGACTCGGACACTACCACAGGGTAGTGCTGATGCTGACTCTCCCCAGGAGGCCATATCCTCACCTGCGGTTTCAGTGACTTGGTGAAGATGCCAACCTCTGCCTTGTTCAATGCCGACGAGGTCCTAGGCCTTCTCCTGGACACAGGAGCTCTCAGCAGAAAGGAAATGGTGCTCTGTCATTTACAGTCTGCTAAAGACATAATAAAGAATTCCGTGGGAACACTGACACAAAAGCACTTGCCTTGCTAGACAGGAAAGGGTCTGACAGGTTAACACGTTTGCTCTTGAAAAATGACAAGTTTGCCATATAGACTGAGGAACCAAACACAGGGCATGGATGGTTTGGGAACCAGAAGACTCCAGATCCCATGTCACAGAATGCGAATCAGGTAGACGGTGTGTGCTTCGTCGTTCAGTCATGTCCCACTCTTGGTGACCCGTGGACTGTAGCCCACCAGGCTCTGTCCATGGGATTCTCCAGGCAAGAGTACTGGAGTGGGCTGCCATTTCCTTCTCCAGGTAAATGGTAATGCACCACTAAAAGGTTTTTAGCCTAGCGCCACACAACCAAATACGTGTTTTAGGAAGGCTTCAGTCGGGGAGACACGGGGGCACAGGACACCTGGGCTGCTGCAGAGACCCAGAGAGGAGTGGGGTCAGATGGACCAGGTTCTAGCCCTTTTTCTCAGCCTCAGGAACTTCATTGTAAAGTAGGGGCATTCTCTATCTTGTGAGAAAATCACATGAGTTTGAGGTGCCATCAAATAACCAAACAGGACCTAGATTCAGAAATTCACCTTGGACTTCCCTGGTCGTCCAGTGGTTGGGGGTCTGCCTGCCAATGCAGGGGACACAGGTTCAATCCCTGGTCTGGGGAGACTCCACATGCTGCAAGGCAGCTGGGCCCATGCACCACACCTGAACTCACGCCCTAGAGCCTATGTTCTGCAACGAGAGGTCAGCAATAAGAAGCCCACACACTACAACTAGAGTAACCCGTCCCCACAAAGTATTCCATATTTTTACCTGCGGTGTTCAATAATGAAACACCAGTGCTACTAACCACTTACCATGATTAAAATTAATGAAATGAGAAATTTAATTTCTTAGACATACTAGTCACATTTTAAGTGCTCGAAAGTTACATGTGACTGAAAAAAAAGTTTGACAGAAATGGCACTAATTCTTGAGGCCTTAAAAGCTTCCAGCTTGCCACATCTGTAAAATGAGGCCACCAATACCTGCCTCAGAATTGCAGAGATCCAATGAATGCCACCATCCCAGACCTGACCCCTAACGGGGCCCCCATCTTGATATCTTGACTCACAAAGACCCATTCTCCCCAACCAGCCAGAAGAAGCTTTTAATAAATTTTGAATGCCCTCCCACCTGGCACCTGGTCAGCTCCTTTCTGTTGGTCCAGTGGGAACATAATTTGAGCAGAATGATTTGGAGACTTAAGAGCCCAGCTTCTGAAGTCATTGTGTAGAGTATGATCCAAGATCTGTGACTGTAGAAACTTAAGTGGGTTATTTAACCTCGTGCTCTCTGTAGAATAAGAATAATGCTGGTATAGTGTTTGGGAATTCTCTGCCTATCCAGTCATTAGGACTCAGCACTCTCACTGCCAGGGGCCTGGGTTTGATCCCCGGTTGGGAAACTAAAATGCCACAAGTCATGCAGCACTGTTAAAAAGAAGAAAGTTGAGTTCACACACCCAGCAGTAAGTACAAAGTCTCACATTTAATAAGTGCTAGCTATTTAAGCACAGAACAAAGATTTTTGTTTTAGTATTGTATCTACAATATCTTGAACAAGCACACACTATGTATATTTCAAATGAATAAATGAACTGTTATCTAACTTCTCATGATTCTCCAACCACGTTGGTCTTTCTTTTTTTCCTTTTTTAATAGTTTAATGTATTTTAATAGCAAACTTAGGAACAGCACAGGAGACAGACAACATTAAAAACATGTCTTTCCATGTAGGACAACTCAGAAAAGTATAGTGAATGGATGTAATCTACTGTATGACAAAAATGCTACAAACACCATTTCAGTTCAGTTCAGTCACTCAGTCATGCCCAACTCTTTGTGACCCCATGGATGGCAGCATGCCAGGCCTCCCTGTCCCTCACTGTCTTCTGCAGTTTGCCTAAGTTCATGCTCAGTGCATCAGTGATGCTGTCCAGCCATCTTATACTCTGACGCCCTCTTCTCCTGCCCTCAATCTTTCCCAGCACCAGGGACTTTTCCAATGAGTTGTCTGTTTGCATCAGATGACCAAAATACTGCAGCTTCAACTGTAGCATCAGTCCTTCCAGTGAATATTCAGGATTGATATCCCTTAAAGTTGATTTATTTATCTCCTTGCTATTCAAGGGACTTTTAGGAGTCTTCTCCAGCACCACAGTTCAAAGGCATCAATTCTTTGGCATTCTGACTTCTTTACCATCCAGCTGTCACAACTGTACGTGATCACTGGGAAGACCATAGCCTTGAGTATACGGACCTTTGTCGGCAGAGTAATGGCTCTGCTTTTCAACACACTGTCTAGGTTTATCATCACTTTCCTGCCAAGAAGCAATCATCTTCTGATTTCATGGCTGCAGTCACCGTCTGCAGTGATTTTGGAGCCCAAGAAGAGGAAATCTGTCACTACTTCCACCTTTTCTCCTTCTACTTGCCATGCAGTAATTGGGGCCAGATGCCATGATCTTAGCTTTTTTCATATTTAGTCTTAAGCTGGCTCTTTCACTCCCCTTGTTCACCCTCATCAAGAGGCTCTTTAGTTACTCTTCACTTTCAGCCATTAGAGTGGTATCATCCACGTATCTGAAGTTGTTGATGTTTCTCCCACCTATCTTGATTCTAACTTGTAATCTATCCGGCCCTGCATTTCTCATGATGTGCTCAGCATATAGGTGAGTACCCTTACTCCTTTCTCAATCTTAAACCAATCAGTTGTTCCGTACAGGGTTCTAACTGTTGCTTCTGGATCCACATACAGTTTTCTCAGGAGACAGCTAAGATGGTCTGATATTCCCATCTCTCTAAGAGCTTTGCACAGTTTGTCATGATCCACACAGTCAAAGGCTTTAGCGTAGCTGATGAAACAAAGATGTTTTTCTGAAATTCAATCCTTATCCCAATCCCCAAGAAGGGTAGTAACAAAGAATGTGCTAACCATCAGACAACTGCACTCATCTCCCATGCTAGTAAGGTCATGTGTAAAATCTTGCATGCTGGGTTTCAGCATTATGCGAAGCAAGAACTTCCAGATGTCCAAGCTGGGTTTAGAAAAGGAAGAGGAACTAGAGATCAAATTGCCAGCATTTGCTGGATTATAGAACGCCATGGTACCAGGCATACAAAGATGAGGTTTCTTCACTGCTCCAGTAGAGGGCACACTCGTGCGAGCAGCTTTTGTAGCCAGTCGCTTCCTTCGTGCTTTACCACCCGTTGATTGGGGGCAGTCGGCTTTGAACAAGCGGTGGTCCAGAGACCCTTACTTAACACTGCTTCTCCTTCGGCTGGAGCTCGGCGAGCTAGAGGCGGCCCTAGCGTTGGAGAGCGACGGCGGCGCGGCGGCGGCAGCGAACACTGGTCTTTATTTCTTAAATATGCCAGGGCTTTTAAATTTTTATTTATTTTTTAGGGCTTTAAAAAATAATAGCTGCTTTATTGAAATGTAATTCACATAGTATAAAACTCACTCTTTTCAAGTATACAATTAAGCGGGCTTTTCTAGTGTAATCATCTATCACTAATTGGTCAACCATCACCCCTAATTCCAGAACATTTTTATGACTCCCCCAAAAGAAATCCTGTTGTACATCAACTATACCTCAATTAAAAAAAAATTAAAAATATATATATAAATTAATTAATTTTTAAAAAATCCATTACCCATGAGCAGCCACATATACACCACCACTCACCTCTGCCTAGAGCCCTAAGCAATCATAATCTATTTTTCTTTCACTATGGATTTGTCTATTCTGGACATTTGGTATAAACAGTATCATAATATCAAACGTGGTCTTTTGTGTCTGGCTTCTTCATGTAGCATATGTTTTAAGGGATCATGTTGTAGCATATATCACTTTACTCCTTTTATGGTCAAATAATATTCCAATCAAATGGCTATAGCAGTTTTTGTTTATCCTTCAGTTGATGAACTTTTAGGTTACTTCCACTTTTTGGCATAATGAATAGACCATTTGAGCTATCAGTATTCCCGTATAAGTTTTTGTGTGAGTGAAACTTCAATTTTCGATTCTCTTGTCTGTATTCAAGCCCTTTGCCCATTTTTAAGTTGGATTGTCTTTATCACTGACTTGTAAGAGCTATTTATACAACATCTTCTAGATACTGGACCTTTATCAAATTT